CCAGTGCGGGCAAAGTTGTGAAACAAACACATATTTTACTCCAAAGCCTCTGAAAATCCCCCCTTTTGTCCTTCCTAAGAAGGGTCTCAAGTCTGTGTCATTCCTGAAGCTGAAGTCAGTCCATTCTGGGAGCCGAGTCCAGCTGCGTCCTGTGTTTGAGGCTAAGAAGAACACAAGATTTCTGCTGAGTGTGAGCTGAGCGAGATTGTAGTAAGGAGGGGAGTGATATGATGCGTCGTTTAAGGGGTGTGGCTGCCAGATGTGAGCAAGTGAGGGCAGATGTGGGGGACAGGAGCCAGCTATGTGTGGGGTAGCCAGACCTGGTAGGGGGGCACAATGGAAACAATAGGGGAGCAGGCCAGGTGGGTGTGCAGAAGTGAGGCACAGTGGCAGGATGAACCGGGAGGGGTCCAGATGTGAGGGCTGGAGAACAGATGACCCCCAGCCTCAGTCTTGAGGAGGGTGGCTGTGCTTGGGGAATGGATGATGCAGGCAGTGGAGGAAATGCGATTTCTATTTAGGGAGGCTGTTGAGGAGGAGCTGACGACATGCCCAGCACCTGGATGGGTGGAAATAAACAGACATGAAGCAATCATTTATGCCGTGTCCTCTGTCAACCTAGCCACCACCTCCTCCTCCCTGGGCTCCAGGAAGTTGCTCAGAGTTGTGGCGCTGGGAGGAGACTGCGGGAGCTATGCTGGGGAGGCGATGCTGTCATCTGAGCTTGTGCTTTACACGCTCTGGGCTTTTTTTTTTTTTTTTTGAGTCAGAGTCTTGCCCTTCACCCTAGGCTGGAGTGCAGTGGTACAATCACAGCTCACCACAGCCTCAACTTCCCAGGCTCAAGCAATCCATCTACCTCACTCTCCTGAGTAGCTAGGACCACAAATGCGTGACATCACTCCTGGGTAAGTTTTAGAATTTTTTTATTGTAGGGACAGGGGTCTTACTATGTTGACGAGGCTGGTCTCAGACTCCTGGGCTCACGTGATCCTCCCGCCTCAGCCTCCTGAAGTGTTGGGATTACAGGCACAAGCTACCATGCCCAGCTCCCTCCAGGCCTTTGTACCTTCTCATCTGGAGTACCTGCCCCCCTGAACTACCCACTGAACTCTTAATTTAGTGGCCCACCTCATGCCACCTCCTCTAAGAAGGCTCCCCTCATACCCAGTCTGTGGTTCCTAAATTGCAGCTAATCACAACCTCCTGAGTTCACACATCAGAGTTGGAAATCTACTTTCAAATGATCTGACCTCATCCTACCCCCACCCAGGAGCACATGAATGAGCTTCAGGGAATCCCTGGAATTGAATGTGAAGTCATGTGCAAAATCAAATGTGCAGATGACTGGATAAACAAAATACAACATACTCGTAAAATGAAATATTATTCAGCCATGAAAGGGAATGGAGTCACTGACAGGTGTTAAAGTGAAAAAAAAAAACAGATAGAAAAGGCCAAGTACTATATGATTCCACTATGTGAAGTATGAAGAATAGGCAAATCAATAAAGAGAAAGGAGCTTAGCAACTGCCAGGGGATGGGGGTCGGGGCTGGGGAATGACTGCCTCTGGATATACGGTTTCCTTCCGGGCTGATGAAAACATTCTGGATGTAGATAGTGGTGATGGTGGCACAACATTGCGTACGTACTAAATGTCACTAAATTGAATATGTTAAAATGGTGACTTTTATGTTATGTGTATTTTACTACAGTTAAGAAAAAAGTCAAGCCAAGCGCAGTGGCTCATGCCTGTAATTCCAGCACTTTGGGAGGCTGAGTGGGTGGATTACAAAGTCAGGAGTTTTAGACCAGCCTGGCCAATATGGTGAAACCCTGTCTCTACTAAAAATACAAAAAAATTAGCCAGGCGTGGTGACACACGCCTGTAATCCCAGCTGCTTGGGTGGCTGAGGCAGGAGAATTGCTTGAACCCAGGAGGCAGAGGTTGCAGTGAGCTGAGATTGCGCCACTGCACTCTAGCCTGGGTGACAGAGAGAGACTCTGTCTTGGGAAAAAAAAAAAGGAAAGGAAAAAAGAAAGTCAAATGCACATTTCCCAGGAGAAAACTCCCAGGTTTGATTGGATTCTCAAAAGGCAAAGCAGCTCTGATCTGGTCCAGACTCCTTCATGATGCAGATGGTGATACTGGGACACAGAGAGGGGTGAGACCTGTCCAAGGTCACTGAGGGGCTGGCAGCAGAGCCCAGCCAGGTTGCATGACTGCCTGACCACATACTCTCCCACCTGCTTCTTCCCTTGTCCTCTGATCTCCACTGAACCTTCCCTGCACAATCCCCAAGGCTCCGTACTGCTCCCAGCCATGCTACCCACCAGCTGTGTAACTTCCCAAAGTTAAAAGACCTTCCTCCTAAAACCGGGTGCATGGATTAGAGTTTCATGAGCATTTGTCTTTTGCTCTAGAGTAGACTCTGAGCTCCTAGAGGGCAGGAGGAAATGTTTCTTATTTTCCTCCACATCTTACAGAGCTTCTGGGACAGCCACGGAGGTGAGCCATTCCTGTCTCCCTTCAAGAACTTGCTCTTCACGGGCGAGGAGGGCAGTTAGCTGACAGCTTCTAACAAACATTCCTTGCCCAGAGGACATGCTGGGTTGGCCAAGACTTTGTTAGATCTGCAGCACAGTCTGAGGCTCTCCCAGCCCTGTCCTGCTTCCTCCCCTTCACTGGCCTTGCCACTACCCCATCTCCCCACAATAAACCTCTTGTGCTCCTATGTTCATCTCAGTGCTTGCTTCCTGGAGGACCCACATGGTACATGGTACAGCACCTAGCCTGCTGGATCATAAGTGCTCAGTCGTGAAGTAAACAGAACTGGGGATCCTCTAGAGGGAGAGGGAAGCCAGTGCCTGGGCCTCAGAGAGCAGAAGAGCGGCTGTCCATGGAGGATGCCTCAGTCATAAGGAGAGCAAGGTCCCCCGGGGTGGGGCCTAACACAGAGGAACACACAGGGAGCTCAGGAATTCACCAATCCTGCTGGCATCCTCTCTAGCTCCTCTGCTGTCTGGGGCAGCTGTTGCAAACTCAGCAGTGGTCCAGGAGACAGGGTCCACAGAGCCCTGGCCTTGGACTTTTGAAAACCAGGTTTAATTTGTGCTTCCCACTAGTCAGATGACTTTCCACCCTTCTCTCCAGAGCTCAGTTCCTCTAACTGTAAAATGGGTACATAATGTGTCCCTTCCCTTCAACCCCAGCATGATTTTGAGAATTGACTGAGAAGATACTAGTTTATGGAGGGCACCCTATTGGGTAATTTACAATGCACAGTCAGGCCAGGTGAGGTGGCTCATGCTTGCAATCCCAACACTCTGAGAGGCCAAGGTGGGAGGATCACTTGAGCCCAGTAGTTCAAGACCAGCCTGGGCAACAGAGCAAGACCCTGTTTCTACAAAAAATTTAAAAATTAGCTGGGTGCAGTGGCACATGCCTGTAGTCCCAGCTACTTGGAAGGCTGAGGCAGGAGGATCATTTGAGCTGAGGAGTTTGAAGCTGCAGTGAGCTATGATTGTGCCACTGCACTTCAACCTGGGCAATAGAATGAGACACTCTAAGAAAAATAAATACATACATACTCATTTAACCCTTGCAGTGGCTTTGTGAGGGCAGCATTATAACCTCCATTTTATGCATGTGTGATATAAATGGATGGATGGATGAGATGAGGGTCTCACTTTGTTGCCCAGGCTGGAGTGCAGTGGTGCAATCAGAGCTCACTGCAGCCTGGACCTCCTGGGCTCAAGCAATCTTCCTCCCTCAGCCTCCCAAGGAGCTAAGACTACAGGTGTGGGCCACCAAAGCCAGCCAATAAAAAAAAAAAAAAAAATTGTTTAGGCCAGGCATGGTGGCTCACGCCTGTAATCCCAGCACTTTGGGAAGCCAAGGCAGGTGGATCATGAGGTCAGGAGTTCGAAACCAGCCTGACCAACATGGTGAACCCCATGTCTACTAAAAATATAAAAATTAGCAGGGCGTGGTAGCGCAGGCCTGTAATCCCAGCTACTGGGGAGGCTGAGGCAGGTGAATCGCCTGAACTCAAGAGATGGAGGTTGCAGTGAGCTGAGACCGCACCTCTGCAATCCAGCCTGGGCAACAGACAGAGACTCCATCTCAGATTTTTTTTTTCTTTTTTTTAGAATGGAATCTCCCTATGTTGCTCAGGCCAATTTTGAACTCCTGGCCTCAACCAATCCTCCCTCCTCAGCCTTCCAAAGCACTAGGAGCCGCTGCACCTGGCAGAGGAAACGGTGGCTCTCTAGGTCAAGGCATTAGCTCAAGAACACACAGCTAGCAACCCGGCATAGCTGGGATTAGAACCCAATTCTGTCTGGCTCTAGAACCCCTTCACTATTTGAGATACAATTTACTACGTGACTACTGGTACTAAGCTTTGGGTTGGGGGCGGGGCCTGAGGCAGCCCCTGCTCTCCTACATTGAGAGCGAGTATGACAATAGGCAACTACATTAAAAAAAAAAAAACCCAAAATTCCAGAATGCGTCAGAGCTCCAGGGGGAGCGGAAAATAGAGGGTTCGTATATAAACTTAAAATAATAGAGGCAGCATCTCCAAGGACTGTGAAGATGCCCCAAGTCGGAGCAAAAGTTTTGGCTGGTTCGGGAAGTGATGAAAGACCAAAGTGGCTGCAGCGAGTGTCGACCCGGGAGGTCACTGGGCGCGTTGGGGCGGGGGGGAGGGCAGGCAGGAGCACCTAGACCCCACGGGAAGCCACGTAGGAGGGTTCAGCAGGTCCAGAAAGGCCCGATCCGCCTGGACCGCTGTGAGGGGGCAGAGGGAGGTCCCTCCCACAGGACGTGGCCTTAGACGACGAAGGCGGGGGACAGGGGCCGGCACCCGCGACGCCCCACCCGTCCCCCGTGGCGTAGCAGCAGGGCGGGCGAGGCGGGACACACACCCCTACCCGCCATCAGCTAACACCCAGCCCTCTCCGGGGGTCCTTGCCCCGGCCCCCAGCCCCGCGCGGCTGGTGACGTCACGGCGCTCGTCGGCGCCGTCTATGGCGTCACGGGCCGGGCCCACCTGGCGTTCTAGGGATCCTTGGCTGGAGGCTACGCAGGCGGCGGGCGCGCGCGCGCGGCGGGATGAAGAAGGTGGTTTCAAAGCAGTCTCCGCCCAGGTTGATCGGTGGGTGCGCTCCCTCGCGCGGGGCGCTGGTTGTTATGGACACAGCGGCAGCCGCTGGCTGGCGGGCGCGCGCGGGGTCGCCGCGGGTGCGGCGCAGCCTCGGTGTCTCCGGGCCCGGCGGTGCAGGGTCACGCTCATCGCCCGGGCAGCACCATGAAGTCTCTAAAGAAGGAATCCCGCCTCAGAATAACTCCAGCCAAGTTATTAGAAGCCGCAGAGAGCTTCAAAGGTTGGCGGTGGCTCCTTTGGGTGCTCAGGAGAACCTGACAGGAGAAGCGGTCCCTGGGATGAGTTCAGGACACGGGGCCTAGAGGATGGGGATGGTACCAGGGATGGAGGAAAGATCACGGGGAAGTGGGGTACTGGATACAGGACTCTTAGAGATGGAGGGCAAGGCGGGAAGAGCCTACAGCGCACTGGGCCTTGGGGATGGACCATAGGAAGTGGGAAACTGACAGAGGGGCTTCAGGGACCACTGGCTGGGAAGATGGCCTTGCGCAGGCAGGGATACCTCTACCTCTAACTACATCTTAGGGTGGCATGCGGGAGGCAGGATCCCCGGACTGGATGAGGCGCAGAAGAGCCAGGAAAGAGTTTAAGGGTAGAGGGCCAGGAATTGGAGTCCTTGGGAAGAGGAAAGAATGCAGTGGTGAAACCAGCCACCTTGATGGGGTTCTTTAGTGGAGGAGGATGGGGTCAGGTGTCACTTAGGATTCCTGCTGGAAAAACCCAGAAGAAAAGCCTTGCTTGGACAGTTCTGTTTTTGACTGCCTTTTCCTGCCACGTGTACTTTCCAGCTGGATGACACTTACCCAGCTCCTTTAGCCTGGTAAGAGTTGCTAGATGTTACTGCATCCTGGCCTCTGCAGCTTCCTTCTGGTTGCAGGTGGGAGAGCCACAGGGCGTGTGATAGCGGACTCACTGCCATGGATATGTTCCCATTTGCAATCCACCCCACTTTGATCCTTTTTGCTGTTTCCATTTAGTTATTTTTAAATTTAATTTTTAGCAATTTTGTGCAAACAGGGCTCTCGCCGTGTTCCCCCAGCTAGTCTAATTCTTGGCATCAAGCGATCCTCCTGCCTCGGCCTCACAGATTGCTGGGATTCCAGGCATGGGCCACTGCACCCAGCCGATTTTTGTTTACTGAGAGCTTGTTATGTGTGGTACTGTGGCTCACAACAAGGGTATCAGTATTAACTGTGTGACCCTGGCCCTCAAGAAACTCAGTCTCATGAACAACTGGAGGAGTAACCAGACAAAGGTGGAAATACAAATGCTGTGATGTAGGTGCCCATCGGGCTTAAGGGACCCCAGAGCACCTGAGCCAGACCTAGGATGGTTGTGGGGGGACGTCTTCTAAAGAAGGTGACATCTATGGCAGACAAGAAAAAAGAGGAGGGTTTGCACCTCTGGGTCTAGGACCAGCTTGAGTTTATGGAACTATAAATGTGGGAGCCAGAAGAGGCTGCACAGGTGGGTAGGGCAGAGGCCAGGCCATGAAAGGGCTGTGTGTGCTAAATCAGAAAGCCTGGATGCGCTCTTGCAGGCCCTGGGGAGACCCAGCCTCAGAATTGTGAAAGCTCAGTGTGAGGAGAGGGGACGCTCAGAAAATGAACAGGAGCTTAGTTGCTTTTCAGTAAGGCTTTATGTTTCGTCATGTATAAAAGTCCAGCGTTGAGCCGGGCATGGTGGTGCACATCTGCAGTCCCAGCTGCTCAGGAGGCTGTGACAGGAGGGTTGCTCCAGGCCAGGAGCTCATGGCCACACCTGTGAATAGCCACTGCATTCCAGACTGGGCAACACAGTGAGACTCCTGTAATTAAAAAAATACAAGTCCAATGCTGTTTTATGACATACTTTAAATATATGTGTATTTATTTATTTTTTGAGACAAGGCCTCCCTCTGTCACCCAGCATGGAGTGCAGTGGTACAATCAAATCATAGCTCACTATAGCCTTGAACTTCTGGGCTCAAGCGATCCTCCGGCCTCAGCCTCCCAAGTAGCTAATTATGGGTACACACCACCATGCCCAGCTAATATATATATATCTTTTTTTTTTTTTTTTTTTTGTAGAGACAAGTTGCCCAGGCTGGTCTTGAACTCCTAGGCTCAAGTAATCCTCTCACCTTGGCCTCCCAAAGTGCTGGGATTATAGACATAAGCCACTGTGCCTAGCCCATGACATACTTTTTAATAGTTGAGAGAGAGGGAATATTGGTCCCCTTTCCCAAGGACAGTCAAGGGCTTTCCTAGCTACTGCCTCCTGCTCACATAGTTTCTGGGAGATCTTATCAGATTTAAACTGCTGTAAACAAATCCAGGAAAGATTTTTCAGTGCGTATTCATTTTTAATAAGAAGAAAATTTAGTTTGTTAATTAACCCTTGAGTTAAGCACATGCAGCAGAGTGAGGAGGGAAAAAACGAAGTGTTTAGCATGCAAGATATCTTTTTAATAATATCTCAGGGACACCTCTAATGTTGCAGGGCAGCACTCTCCCCCGGCCTGCTTGTAACCTTGCGTGATGTTTCTCCAAAGTCTCTGACTCATAAGCAAAAAGGAAAGCAAAAACAGTGACTTAAACCTGCTTCAGGACCTGAGAGCCCTTTGAGTCCCAGTTCCCCCCACCCCTGTCTTGGTTGCTAAGAAACCAAGAACCCTCCCAGCAGCATTAGATTCCCCTCGCCAACCAATTAAAGCCCTGCCCTGGTAGGGACAGCCCCTCCATGGTTGATTAAAGACTTTAATCAACACTAAAACTAAATAATACTTAGATAAAACAAGAAGCAGAAAAATAGAGTCCAGCTTTCTTCTCCCTCCATAGTTCACCCCTCCCTATTTCCCCTCCTACCCCCACTTGAGCACCTTGCTTCCAGCCCTCTGGTCCAGCTCCAACAGAGACTGACTGGTTACTCCATGCAAGGGAGTTGGGGGAGGCGGTCTCTTTTACCTCCTCACTGTCAGCATTAAGGGAGAAATGTCAGCTGGTGGCTCACTAGGAGCCTTATCAGTTTGGGATTCCAGACCAATGAACTAGAAAGAGTGGGGCCTCTACAGGCTCAGTAGTCTGATGTAACTCAGCCCTGTGGCGTCTTCCTGCAGGTCCTAAAATGATCCCTGGGGCTCGTCCTTCCCTGGTCTTTCCCCAGCTTGTCTGCCCCTCTGGTCCATTTGGCTCTCCTCATCTGATAAATCATTCTGAAATCATTCTGAAATGCACCTCTCATCAATTCACTCCCCTGGACCAAAGATCAGATGCCTGAGCCATGCTTTACAGAGCTGGCATGCCCTGGTTTCCCTCTCATCCCCAACATCAGCACCTCCCCACCTCCCCTGCAAGTTTTCTGTCATTGTGCCACACACATGCTGCGCTCAGCCCTGCCCCTAGCTTTGCTTGGACTTCAACTCACCTGGAGCATCTCAGTTTGCTGCCGTACCTATGCAAAGCCTCCCTCTCCTTCCCCAGCCTGTGGAGCCACCTCTGCAGCTGTTCCTCTGAACCCTTCTTCAGAGCCCTGAACTGTGTAATCCACATGGACCTGTTCCTTTTTTGATGTGTAACCGAACCTATTGCCTGCATCAAGAATGTAGGAACTCCTAGTTATGACTGGTGTGTGTTCACATCTGTTATATTTTTCTGTCCCTCAAGAGAAGAAGCTGTATCTTAACCCTTTATACCATCTTTGTAGTTTATAACACATAGACGGTGCTTGGTAAACACTCTCTAGGAGCAATTTAACTTTAAGATGTATATATTGCTGGCACAGTGGCTCACACCTGTAATCCCACTTTGGGAGACCGGGACGGGTGGATCACCTGAGGTCAGGAGTTTAAGACCAGCCTGGCCAACATGGTGAAACCCCGTCTCTACTAAACATGCAAAAAATAGCTGGGTGGCTGGTGTGGTGGCTCATGTCTGTAATCCCAGCACTTTGGGAGGCCTAGGTGGGTGGATCACCTGAGTTCAGGAGTTCAAGACCAGCCTGGCCAACATGGTGAACCCAGCCTCTACTAAAAATACAAAAAATTAGCTGAGTATAGTGGCATATGCCTGTAATCGCAGCTACTTGGGAGGATGAAGCAGGAGAATCGCTTGAACCCAGGAGGCGGAGATTGCAGTGAGCCAAGATTATGCCATTGCACTCTAGCCTGGGCAACAAGAGTGAAATTCCCTCAAAAAAAAAAAAAAAAAAAGTAGCTGGGCGTGGTGGCACATGCCACCTGTATTCCCAGCTACTTGGGAGGTTGAGGCAGAATTGCTTGAACCCAGGGGTGGAGGTTACAGTGGGCCGAAATCGTGCCATTGCACTCCAGTCTGTGGGACAGAGTAAGACTCCGTCTCAAGAAAAACAAAGATATATATATCATTTTAATGAATATTTTATTAACTACAGCATACTACTCCCTGAATGTGGGCAGTAACACAGCATTTGTTGAACCTCATTAAAGATAACTTTCTCAGAATAACCTCAGATCAGAGTTTTACTATTTCAATCTAAACCAAACATGGAAGATGAGTTTCTCTATCACTGAAGGGATGGGAGCTCTGGCCCCCGGAAATCTTCAGCAGTGTTGAAAGTTTGTATTGACATGTGGTAATTATGTACCCACCAGTAAAACACACACATCTGGAGATGTTCAATCACTTGGGAAGATATCAACCCAGCCAAGGTTATGGATAGAGGAAGCAAATGTCCTGGAAAATGCAGATAATACCAAAATATTTACAAAAGCAGACCTTCAACTGATCTCATTTCTCATAGGCTGCCACCCACTTTGGTGAGTTTGTGTAGAAGGGAGAGGGGAGGTAGAAATTAAAACCCCAAGGCTGCATCTGCACACATGGTGGGAGATGAGACTGGAACTTGGGGTTCAGCTGTCAGCCCTGCATGTGTGCTTGTGTGCACAGAGCCATGCATTTAACAGACAGATACTCCCGAACCTCTGCTGACCCCATTGCAGAAACAGACTGTGGATGATAGGCCAAATTTATTATTTTTTCTAAGGATGGCATCTCCTATGTTACCCAGGCTGGTTTTGAACTCCTGGCCTCAAGCAGTCCTCCCATCTCGGCCTCCCAAACTGTTGGGATCACAAGCATGAGCCACTGCACCCAACAATAGGCTGAATTTAGAACTATGTTTGGAACGATTTTGGTGTGGGGTTTTTTTGGCCACCAACTCTATGGAAATTTCCTTAGGAAAAAAGTTTGATTTTGTTAACCAGAACACCTGCCTTGATGTTTTAGTGATGCTGCCTCTCAAAGATTAGGGTGCTGTGAGAAGCAGTGGATAAAACCAAATTTTGTTTTAAACTCCCTAAAGGCAGGACTTAGGTTTTCTTTTGATTGTTTTGTGTAGGGCCTTACATCAAACCATTCTGAACCAGAGGGAAAAAGACAGGGTTGACCAGCCAGAGAAATGAGATGTGTTTGAAACAAGCCACCTCTGTGGAAGGAAGTCAGGGAGTGTGTCCTCATTGGAGAGTGACCCATGACCCCCTCCTTCTGCCCCGTGTGTTGTCAATGTCATGCTCTGGCTGCCACAACAGACTCCTAAATACCTTTATATGCTCATCTTCTGTCTTGCAAGCATTTTTTTTTTTTTTTTGAAAGACAGGGTCTTGTTCTGTCACCCAGGCTGAAGTGCAGTGGCACAATCATGACTCACTGCAGCCTTGACCTCCTGGGCTCAGGCGATCCTTCCACCTCGGCCTCCCAAGTGGTTGGGACTGTAGGCATGTACTACCATGCCTGGTTAATTTTTGTATTTTTTATAGAGCCTGGACTAGTGAACTCCTGGGCTCAAGCAATCAGCCTCCCTTGGCCTCCCAAGATCTTGCAACTCTTAATCCATTCCTTGGCATGCCATTGCCCATGGGGTAAGCCTTCACACAGCTCACTGAGCTCTTCATGATATGGCTCCTGCTTCTCTCTCTGGGCTCTGCCTCTTCCCTCCCACCTCACCACACTCCAGCTATTTAAAAACACATGCTTTGAGTTCCAGGGATGTGCCCCTTTCTCTTGCCTCTGTGCCTCTTAATGTTATTTTCTTTGGAAAGCCTGTTCCCCAGACCGCTTTCCTTTCTCCAACTTCTTTCTTCAGCTCTGTTTAAACATCCCCTTCTTAGGAAGCCCTCCCTGACCATCCCCGGCCCTGCACCAACTCTGGGCTGGGTGTTCCTCCCCACCATGTTCCTGGTTCAGTCTGTTTCACAGTCTTGTTTCCCACTGGGCATGTGCTCTTTAAAAACAAGCTCTGACATACATCCCCAGAACCTAGCACAGTGCCTGGCATGTAGAAGCTGCTTTAACAATCTTTATTAAATGAAATAGTATGCAGTAAATGGTCAGTGGTAAATGTTCTGCTTCCCCCACAGAGATTCTGCATTTTAAACAGTGTCTTATGAAACCTGATGCCTTCACCCAGAAACCTGGGTCAGTGCCGGCACTGGAGGAGGCTGGCAAAACATCCAGTTCAGTTGCCCCAAACCACTGTGCATCAGAAACACCTAGGGAGTTTAAAAAATTACAGCTCCATAGGCCCTGGCTCCATGCAGCAGCCAGGAAGCTATATCCATAAAACTCCCCCAAAGATGCTGAGGCCGACATTGGACTAATATTTGGGAACCACTGACTTAGTCCAACTGACTCTTTCTACACATGGGAAGACTGAGGCCTAGAGAGGTTAAGTGATGTGTGCCCAAGACTGTCCAGCTTAGAAATAGCATAGCCTGAATGGAACATCTTTTTTGTATATTAAAAAAACATATTGTTTGTGCAGATGGAGTCTCAACTATGTTGCCCAGGCTAGTCTTGAACTCCTAGGCCCAAGCAATCCTCCTGCCTTGGCTTCTCAAAGTGTTGGGATTATAAGCATGCACCACTGCACCCAAAATTAAACATCTTTTTGTTTTGTTTTGTTTTGTTTTGTTTCTGAGACAGAGTCTCACCCTGTTGCCCAGGCTGGAGTGCAGTGGTGCAATCTTGGCTCACTGCAACCTCCACCTCCCGGGCTCAAGTGATTCTCCTGCCTCAGCCTCCCAAGTAGCTGGGACTACAGGCATAGGCCACCACACCAGGGTAATTTTTATACTTTTAGTAGGGACAGGGTTTCACCATGTTGGCCAGGCTGGTCTCGAACTCCTGACTTTGTGATCCCCCTGCCTCAGTCTCCCAAAGTGCTGGGATTACAGGTGTAAGCCACTACACCCGGCCTGAAATGAAACATCTTCTGACCTCAATTCTGGCTACAGAAGACTTCGTCACTGTGGTGAGCCAGGGGGTGTGGGTAGGGGGACCCTCCAGAGAGAACTCCCATTGCCCCAGCAAAAAGTGCTGCCCAGGCCACCTTGGCAGCCTCTGCTGTCTATCCAGCTGGTCAGCTCTGCCCCCCACCATGGAGTCTAGTATATACTTACATTTTTATTTTTGTATTTATATATTGATAGGTACAGAAGGAGCTCTTTAAGGACTTAATCACTTTGTGCTTCTCTTCAGAAAAGAAGCGGGCAAAGGGACCTGAACAACCCACACCCCCAATTCAGGAAGAGCCTGAACCTGTTAGCAATGTACTCCAAGGAGATGACATTCTTGCCTTGGCCATTAAGAGGGAAGACTTGAAGGAGGTGAGGATGAAGCCCAGGCTGCCCTTACTGTGGAAACTTCCCTGCCAGCAGCCTCACTGGTCTAGAACGCCAGTCGTGTCCACTGTCCTCCCACTGTCTCCCTACTCATGGGGAGTGGCTAACCCCGTGGAAAAATCCACTGAACGCAGATTCGCTTCACTTTACCACCTAAGGAAATTCACTGTGTTGTCTGCTTTAACATTGCTGAGATTTGTGTAGAACCACGAGGGGATATGAGATGATGAGGTATCTTGCTTCCCATAGAGGTAGGTGCCATCATTCCCATTTCACAGAAGGGAGGATGAGTTTAAACAGCAAAGGTACAGCTGTGGGTAAAGCTGCTAAACCTCAACCCCATGCTTTACCTGGGAGAGTAAAGCCACCTCTCACCTGAACTGTCAGGAGGCATAGATGTAATTTTTTTCCCTCCAGGATATTACTAAGTCACATGTCTGTTACACAGGCATTTCCTCGACAGAACATATGGACAGAGCTGAAGAAACAGATCTGTCAGCCTTCAGGAATTCCACCCAGAACTAGAACGGAGGAGATGGGTGGTGCTCTTCCTCCTCCCACCACAGGTGGAATTCTCCTTTGTTTCATTTCTTTTCAGCAACACATTCCTCGCCTTACTGAAAAGGAAGGTAAACCCGTCATTACCCAGAAATGTATCATCCGTAAACTCAAACCCACGGACCCTAGGCGGAAGGTCTGCCACCTCATAGCACGCCCTGCGAATCCCGACGCGGCCACAAAGCCTCTGGACTACTCTGGTACTCCCAGTCTCGGCCCTGGCTTCCCTGTCGTTGAACTCATGGGTCAGCCTCGAGAGAAAGCCAGTCTCCCATCAGAAAGTTGCCCACCCACAGCTTGTCTTTCCCCTTTCTTTGTGTATCCTCCCAGGTCCCGGTGACAGCTTCGATGGCAGTGACCAGATCCTGCCCCACCACATCCTGGGGAGTCTCCAGGACTTTAGGAGAATTGCACTTGCTCGAGGGAATACCCAGGTTTGTTTGCACTTAACTACCTGGCCAAGGGAAGTCACTGCAGTCATTTCGGTCTCCCGCCTGGCAGAGTCAAGCAGGACTGGGATTAAAGAGACCGTCTAGGTTTTGAGTCTGAGCTGATGAGTGACCCTCTCCCAGAATACTTAGACACTTCAGTTGCAGGGCACAGAAGGTAGTTTAAGCTGGCTTCAGTAAAGTCAGAGATTTACTGTAAGGACCAGAGATTGCCTCATGGAACCCAAAGGCAAGAATACCTGGGTCTGGGTAGACTGCACCCAGAAAAGCATCAGGACTCAGGGCCCAAATGCCTCATTTTCCTCTGCTCTTTGCACTGTCTGGATTTTCCCTTCTCTGGAGATCAGCCTGTTCTCCTCAGTCCACATGGTGGAGGAGGGTGGCTTCCCACTGCTCCTTGGGCCACGGGAAGATTTTGTGTCTTTCCAACCTTCCCATCATGCCGTGCTTCTCCTGTCTCTTCCCCTTGCTTTCCTGGTTCCAGGCTGACTGATTGGTCAGGCACTAAGGGTCCTAGGGCCATGTAAGAATGCTTCCATTTGCACATGGGTGGAGGTGTCAATCAATGGCAGCAGTGAAGAGGACAAATATACTAAAAGATGTTGGCCGCAATCTTGAAACAGAGGTTCCCTTTCTGGGGGACAGTGGACTGACAGCTGCGTTCAGGGCCCCCTGGTTCTGGAGTTTCTTTTCTGTCACTGGCTACCCTGGAGTCCTGCAGAGGAGGGATTCTCAGCACAGTGGGATGACAGCAAGGGTTTAGGTCTCAGGAAATGTGTGCTCAGCCCCTTCTAGAGCCATCTCACTACCCTCCACATGCCCATGCTGTACTTTTCAGCTGGCTGAGCTCATACCTACCTCACCCTGTCTGATGACCCTCATCTCAGCTAAAGAAGAGTCAAAGCAAAAAGCCCCAAAGGAAGAGAAGAGACCTCCCTGGGCCCCACCTCCTCAGCACAACTTTCTGAAAAACTGGCAGCGTAACATAGCCCTGCGGAAGAAGCAGCAGGAAGCCCTCAGCGGTGAGCAGAGCAGACAGGGCTCCCGCCCAGCCTCCATCTGGCAGCGAGGCTCTGCTGTTTTTTTCTCTCCTCTAGAGCCTGGCCCTGGGCTGACCACATTTGTGCTGTTCACTCCCAAGAGCATCTCACTCTGAAGCTTTAGTGGGTGCTGAAATCAGCCCTGTGAGGGGGGCTGCCCGATGCAGAGTGCCAAGGCCCCTGTTTGCTCTGGTTTGGCAGAGTGGCTGCAGTCTTGCCTCTCCCTCTAGAACACCTGAAAAAGCCGGTCAGCGAGCTGCTCATGCATACTGGGGAGACCTACAGACGGATCCAGGAGGAGCGGGAGCTCATTGACTGTACACTTCCAACCCGGCGTGATAGGAAAGTGAGGACACCTGTCCTAAGTGCTGGGGGCAGGGGGGTGCACAGAGGAGGGGGGCCGGGGTAGGGGTCTGGACACAGGGATGCTGGTCTCAGGTGGCACAGCTGGGGAGAAAAAATCCTATCCATTGCAAAGCATCATTAAGCCCTCAAGGCTTTTACTAAATTACATTGTTAGTAAAGTCATTTAGCCACACAGGTACCGAGTTATTAGAGTAGTCTTAGTGTTTGTCTCCTAGAAGCTTAGACTGAGTGGAGCCCACACACTAAGGAGAGAGGCTGAAGAGGCCCCCACCTTTGTTCTGGTATACCAGTGCTGTCTGTACCAGCCCACACTCCTGGCTGGGGGCAGGTAAAGATGACAACGGGGCTTCCAGAAAACATGACAGTGGGTGCTTCTCTTCTGCGACCATAGCAGCATTGAACTCCCTAGAGGGAGCATCTGTAGCCTGTGGTACTCTTGTCTTCCCACGTCTCCACCAGCATCTGGCCAAGGTGTCCTGGTGATCTGACTCCCCTGTCCTTCCTTGCCAGAGCTGGGAGAACAGTGGGTTCTGGAGTCGACTGGAGTACTTGGGAGATGAGTTGACAGGTCTGGTCATGACCAAGACAAAAACTCAGCGTGGCCTCATGGAGCCCATCACTCACATCAGGAAGCCGCACTCCATCCGGGTGGAGACAGGTGAGGCGCAGGGCCGTAAGCCAGCTGGCATCTTGTGCCTGGTCCGGCGGCGGGGTAGTTTGGCAGCGGCTAGCATGGCTCTACGGTGAAACAGGCCCACGGCCAAATCCTGGTTCTCTGTGGCCTTAGGCAAGTCCTGTAGTCTTCCTGAAGTCTGGTTCCCTCTTCAGTAAAACGGGGAGAGAGATAGGAAACTGGAGTGCAGCCATAGGACCACGCTGTCCGGCGTGGAGTCTTGAGCCGCGTGCCGCTGGTAAGCGCCTGGACTGTGGCTGCCCCGCACTGAGAAGTGCTGTCAGTCAAGTGTACCCTGGCTTTTGAAGAGTAGTGTGAAAACAATATATTTTATCAATCATTTTTATATTGATTACATGTTGAAATGACAAGATTTTTGATATATTGGGTTAAATAAACTATATTATTAAAATGAGGCCAGGTATGGTGGCTCATGCCTGTAATCCCAGCACTTTGGGAGGCCAAGGTGGGTAGATCACTTGAGGTCAGAAGTTCAAGGTCAGCCTGGGCCAACATGGTAAAACCCCCATCTCTAGTAAAAATACAAAAATTAGCCGGACGTGGTGGTGCGTGCCTATAATTCCAGCTACTCGGGAGGCTGAGGCAGGAGAATTGCTTGAACCTGGTAGGTGGAAGTTGCAGTGAGCCGAGATTATGCCATTGAACTACAGCCTGGGCAACGAGCAAGACTGTCTCAAAAAAAAATAATAAATAAATAAACTATATTACTAAAATGAATCCCACCTTTAGAATTTTTCCTTTTTCAGTGTGGCATCTAGAAAATTTTCAGTGACACATGTGGCTTGTGTTTGTGGTTTGCATTATATTTCTCTTGGGCAGCGCTGATTTAGAGCCTACCAGGCTGCCTGGGTTCAGGCCCCAGCTGTGTCGTGTTAGTGAACCCCAGAGTGGCTGAACCTCTCTGGCCCGCAGTCTCCTCATCTGTAAAATATGCATAGGGTTGTGATATGGCTAAGTGAGATGTGAAATGTATTAAGAGGTTCTGGCTTCTTGTTAAGCACTCAGTAAAAGGTAGCTGCTGTTGTTATTTTTATTATAATCCAAAGATTTGGCTATTTGGAAGCTAATTTTGCAGGAGTCCTGGGTAGGGCTGCTGAGAAGGTGTGGGACAGGAGGACTGGAGTCAAGCTGCCGCAGGGAAGCTGTGTTTTTCATCCTTCCTAGAAATGGTGTTGGGATAGGCAGTCTCATAGCCCTTGAGAAGTGGGTGAGCAAGGGGCATGGCAGCAGTCTGTGCTGAGGGTCCTTGGACTTGGTGCTAGGATTACCAGCCCAGAGGGACGCTTCGTACCGCTACACCTGGGATCGGAGTCTGTTTCTGATCTACCGACGCAAGGAGCTACAGAGAATCATGGCAGAGCTGGATTTCACCCAGCAGGTTGGTATGGCCTCCGTGCCCCAGTCTGAAGCCCCTTGGGGCAATGCCTGTCTTCAGTCAGCTCATCTTTCCTTTCTCGGTCTCTCGGAGGATATTGATGGCTTGGAGGTGGTGGGCAAAGGGCAGCCCTTCTCGGCTGTCACTGTGGAAGACTACACAGTGTTTGAAAGGAGCCAGGAAAGCTCCTCTGAAGAAGATACAACATACTTGTGAGTGCAGCCCGAACCCTAGGGAGAGAGGCTGAAGAGTTCTCCAGCACCTACCAGCACTAAAGAGCAGGCTTCCCTCCCTGAGATCAGGGTCCCTCCAGCCCAGCTGCTCTCCAGTGGTTGCCACCCACTCCTCGAACCCATTCCAGCAGCTGTGCTGGCCTTCCTACTGCCATCTGCTCCTTTCCAACAACCAACTCCTAATGGGGGTTTCCCAGACATTCCCTTGCTGGTCCTCAGACCCTCCCACTGCTGTGCATCTTGAATGCCTCTGGCATGAAGAGTCTATGTATTTCTGTGCACTGTGAATGGCTCTGGCAAGACAGCTTAAAGAGTCTGTGTGTTTCCAGGAACCTCCCACCTAGAGGAATGGGTCAGGAGGAAGCTGAGCAGGAGGGGAGTTGATCACACTCCATTGCAGGGCAGAGCTGATTATGTTTCTAGACTTCCTGGTGACCATTTCTGTGGGGTTCCACATGGCATGAGCGTGGCAGCCTGAGGGAAAGTAAGTCATTGGTTTTTTTTATTACAGAAGCTCATTGGCCAGTTCCTCTGATGTCCCCATGCCTATTCTCGGCCCTTCTCTGCTGTTTTGTGGGAAGCCAGCTTGCTGGATCAGAGGCAGTAACCCCCAGGACAAGGTAAAAGTGCCTCCCCCTGCACCTGCTGGGAGAGCTTCCCTCGGGGGTACAGCCCCGAGGTGACTGTGGCAGTTATAAGCAGCCTGCACAGTGTTCTGTTTGGGTTTTTATCTGGTCGTGCATTCAGCATGTCTGAAAATGGTGACAGCTACACCAACCTGAACAAGAATAAAATCACAAGGTTGCGGTGTCATAAGCCACTTGGCTTATACCCTGCCCCCAAGCATGTAAACAAGCAGATTCTCTCAAGTAGGTATGGCTCTAAGAAAGTTCTAAAATATTTCTCAGATGCTAAGGAATAGAAATGTTCATTGGAGGGCCGGGCGCGGTGGCTCAAGCCTGTAATCCCAGCACTTTGGGAGGCCGAGGCGGGTGGATCACAAGGTCAAGAGATCTAGACCATCCTGGTCAACATGGTGAAACCCCGTCTCTACTAAAAATACAAAACATTAGCTGGGCATGGTGGTGCGTGCCTATAATCCCAGCTACTCAGGAGGCTGAGGCAGGAGAATTGCCTGAACCCAGGAGGCGGAGGTTGCAGTGAGCCAAGATCGTGCCATTGCACTCCAGCCTGGGTAACATGAGTGAAACTCCGTCTCAAAAAAAAAAAAAAAAAGAAATGTTCATTGGATATAAAATGTGTTTTATCTGGCTGGGCAGAATGGCTCATGCCTATAATCCCAGCACTTTGGGAGGCTGAGGTAGGTGGATCACCTGACATCAGGAGTTCGAGACCAGCGTGGCCAACATGGTGAAACCCCGCCCTACTAAAAATACAAAAAATTAGCAGGGCATGGTGGCTGGCACCTGTAGTCCCAGCTACTCAGGAGGCTGAGGCAGGAGAATCACTTGAACCCGGGAGACAGAGCTGAGATCGTGCCACTGCACTCCAGCTTTGGTGACAGAGTGAGACCCTTGTCTTAAAAAAAAAAAAAAAAAAGTTTTATTTTCTCTTCTTACTATTGAGGGTGACCTCAGAGACAGCCACATTGGAGTAGGATACCACTCTGTGTGACAGTGGCCAAGCCCTGGAGGCCTGGGACACGAGACTTGCAGTGCTAAACCCAGAAAAGTCCTGGGCAGCCCAGACGATTTGTTTCCTCTAGACCAGGGTCTCCAGCAAAGACATTTCTTGTCCCTCCTCCTTCCAGAGGCAGATCGGGATTGCTGTTCACTTGACCTTTGAAACCCTAGAAGGGGAGAAAACCTCCTCAGAACTGACCGTGGTCAATAATGGCACTGTGGCCATTTGGTACCACTGGCAACGGCGGCACCAGCAGGACAGTTTCCAAGACCTGAAGAAAAACAGGATGCAGCGGTTTTACTTTAACAACCGGGAAGGTACTTGGGAGAAGCCACCCTACGCACTGGCTCCTGTCTGGGGCTGGTTTTGTCCTCAGTGAGGCATCAAAGTGTAAGCCATGGCCCAGCTCCTGCAAGCTGGAGCCCCTCTCCCCTGCCTTCTCCCTCTCATTCCTTCCTTGAAATATGTGGCCTGATGATTCATGTCTGTTGAGAGACTGAGGGAACTTGAGAACCCGGGGAGTGAGCCACTAGGGAGCAGAAACCTTCTAGGGGCCCAGTTATCCAGATGCACAGGCCTGGGGCTAGGATGGCCAGCTGTCTCTGTTTGCCTGGGACTTCAGCACTCAGAATCTCACATTCCAGGAAACCTCTTAGTCCTGGGTAAACTGGGATGGTTGGCCACCTGGCCTGGGGCTCAGTTAACTGTGTAGGAGCACTCAGGCCTGGGGCTCAGCCAGCTCCTGCATATAAACCTCGGTCTCTGTCCGTCTCAGGTGTGATTCTGCCTGGAAAAACTAAAAGCTTTACCTTCTTCTTCAAGTCTTTGACTGCTGGGATCTTCAGGGAATTTTGGGAGTTTGGAACCCATCCTACTCTATTAGGAGGTGCTATGCTGCAGGTCAATCTCCATGCGGTCTCCCTGACCCAGGACGTTTTTGAGGATGAAAGGAAGGTACTGGAGGTAAGGGACCCAGGACCGTGGCCCCTGTGGACATCAGGTAGGGTATCCTGGCGTTCTTCCTGGCAGTGCCTGCGGGGATCGTATCTCTCCCAGCCTAAGAGGCGAATTGAAATTTTCACAAACAGGTAACTGCTTTTTCTCCAGAAACATTTCTCAGAGCTTGTGATGTAGAAGATGGGTGCACTGGCTAGGCAGGCGAGGAGCAGCTTGCAGCAACACTATGCATGGCCTTGCTGAGTTAGAAAGAAACGAGACTGAGCCTTAAGAGGCAGATTGTGTAAAGTACAAACAATGCATGGCCCTGTGCACTGATCTGTTTTGTTCCCTGCTGTCTAATACTACGCAGTGGAGTTGCATTTAACCGACAAGACTTCAAACCCAGGGAGAATAACGTATTAATAAACAGCAGGGTGAGTCTGCCCACCGTCCTACTCAATCAGCTGACAACTCTGGAGGGAGTATGAGGTGTGAGCCAAGAGTTTTTTTCAGTGTGGCCATTTCAGCCGTGCGTCCTGGGATTTGGCAGAAAGCTGTGCTTTTTTATTCATTGTGGCCCCAAGCACAAGGCCGGCTCCTTCAGCTGGGGCTCAGCCAGTGGTGGTCAAAGGTAAATTTGACAATGTCATGCTTGCTTTACTCACTGACTGTAGGACCCATGTCTCACACAAGGTACCCCTCCCCTGTGTTTCTGTGACAGTTACTGAAGCCTGATGAAGGTTCACCACTATCCTCAGGAGCACCTCCCCCACTGTGTGCCCCGCCCCATCTTGCTAATCTGGTGCCATGCTAACTGTGTGACCCCCAGACCCTATGCAGCAGCAGCCTTCCCTGGAACTGGCCTCTGGATCTGGAGAGACTCAGAGGTTTTTGGGTCTTAGAACAGGGGTGTGTGTGTGTGTGTGTGTGTGTGTGTGTGTGTGTGTGTGTGTGAGAGAGAGAGAGAGAAAGAGAGAGAGAGAGAGAGAGAGAGATAATGGCAGGAGCTCAGACTCTAGGAAGGCACAAAGTCCTGAAGGCTCCAACTTCCTGAAGGATGCATGGGTTTTGAGAGCCTGGGCTGCCATCCTCTGCCACCTTCCCTTTTGCAGAGCAAGCTGACTGCCCATGAGGCAGTCACCATCGTTCACGGAGTGCTGCAGGAGCTGCTGATGGGGATCTTGACCCCGGAGCGCACACCATCACCTGTGGACGCCTATCTCACCGAGGAAGACTTGTTCCAGCACAGGAATCCTGAGGTGAGGCCCAGCGCCAGCCCCTGCTCCCTCGTGTGTGCCCTACGTCAGGGGTCCCCAACCCCCAGGCCGCACAGCAGGAGGTGAGCAGTGGGTGAGCCAGCATTACTGCCTGAGCTCCGTCTCCTGTTAGATCAGCGGTGGCATTAGATTCTCTTTTTTTTTTTTTTTTGAGACAGAGTTTCACTCTTGTTACCCAGGCTGGAGTGCAATGGCACGATCTCGGCTCACCGCAACCTCCGCCTCCTGGGTTCAAGCAGTTCTCCTGCCTCAGCCTCCCGAGTAGCTGGGATTACAGGCATGCGCCACCATGCCCAGCTAAAAGGAGCTCAAATTCTATTGTGAACTGCACATGTGCAGGGTCTGGGTTGCACACTCCTTATGAGAATCTAATGCCTGATGATCTGAGGTGGAACAGTTTTATCCTGAAATCATTCCCCCACTCCCTACCATCCGTGGAAAAATTGTCTTCTAAGAAACCAGTCCCTGGTGCCAAAAAGGTTGGGGACCACTGCCCTAGGCGACAGTAACAGCAGACTTTTTAATGTGCCAAGGTCTGTTCTGTACATCTTCCATGAGTAACTCACTTCTCCTCACAGCAGTCCTATGAGATGGGTATACTTATTTTTATTTTTTTTTTAGAAATAGTGTGTCACTTGTCACACTCCAGGCCCATGTACAGTGTCCCACTCATAGTTCAAACTCCCCGGCTCAGGTGATTCTCCCACCTCAGCCTCCTGCGTAGCTAGGACTATCGGCACGCACCACCATGCCCAAGTTATTTCTCTATTTTTCTTTTTTTTTTTTTTTTGGTAGAGATAGGATCTCTCTATTTTACACAGGCTGGTCTTGAAGTCCTGAGTTCAGGTGATCCTCCCACCCTGGCCTCCCAAGGCACTGGGATTGCAGGCTTGAGCCACTGCGCCTGGCCCTGGTACTATTTATATCCTCATTTACATGGAGGAAACTGGGGCCCAGAAAGATGAAGTAATTTGCGCAGGGTAACTTTGCTCATAAGTGGATTCCTGGTGAGAACAGAGCTTCACAACTCCTTCATTCAAACCCAAACTTCCTTGGAAGCCCAAATGCAAAAAAGCTTCAACTTGGAGGTTCCCGGGTTGAAGAGGAAGTGGGGAGCCTCTCTGGCCGCAGCCCTCCTGCTGGCTTCCTCCCTGTCTCCTCCATCAGTGCCCTTGGGAATGAGAAGCCAGGGCCAGCTGCCATGGGCTCTGCTGCCCACACCCCAGCCTCCCCCCACATGCCTTCCCTTCCTCTGTTGCAGCTACATTACGACCACCAAGTGCTGCAGAGCCTGCACGGGCTGTGGCTGCAGTACATGACTCTTCCCCCAAAGGCTGAAGACGCCAGGCCAGGGGACGAGGAACACCTCAACCCCATAGCCACAGAGAAAATCTCCGGAAATACCGAGCTCTTACCACACCTTAGGAGCCCCATCTCAGAACCTCAAGTGTCCCGGCCCGAGAACGAGGCCCTCAGGGAATCTGGGTCCCAGAAGGCCAGAGTGAGGACCAAGAGTCCTCGGCGGAAAAGCATCATGGAGGAGATCCTGGTGGAGGAAAGCCCAGAAGTGGACAGTGCCAAAAGCCCCTGGGAGCCGGACGGCCTTCCCCTGCTGGAGTGGAACCTCTGCCTGGAGGACTTCAGAGAGGTGCTTTCAAGACCCTGTAAGGCGTTGGTAGAGAATGCTCCTGCCTTGAACCAACAAGGGAGGCCCCAGCAGCCCTCTTGCTCCACGGGCAAAGAAACAAAACCTGAGAGCTCAGAGAAAGTGATCTCTTGGGTTGTCTTTTTTTTTTTTTTTTTTTTTTTTTTTTTTTTTTTTTT